AATCTGACAAATAGTGAAATTTTGATACAGCTTGTGCCTTCCATATGTCATAATAGGGATTTGTTTGAAACATATGAAACGGTAACACAAGATGTTGTTGTCATGAGGGTAACAACAAACTTTGTTGGATTGAAATCAGTGAATGAAACATGTAGAAAACTTGATCACATTCAACATATTTCGGACTTTGAAAAAAATTCTTGTTTTATTGAATACCCTTGATTCAAAAGGACACACGTTTTTTGGAGGAGGTGGAGTTGTGAGGGTTTGGAAGGTGTTCATATTTTATTGGAGGGGCAAAAGAGGTCCCAATTATACATCTTGTGAGGTTAGATAGAATTTGTAAATACTATTCAATCAAGTTTATAGGATATGGGTAATTCCGCTTTGCCATCATTACCTGTGGTTCGATCTTATTCAACTGTTAGAGATAGACCCATTGAAAATAGGTATGTGGATGTTGATTCAATTGCATATATTTTTAGCGTTTTTGAAGGTGTTGAGACTAGCCAAATGCCTTCTATAAAAGCATTGGAAGTAGATCCTACTATAGGGAGTGCTTCAACACTGGTTGAAGAATTGGGGAAATTGATATTTGGGTTCATGTATCCGTGTTGGATACCATAGAAAAGGGAAGAGTATTTTTATGTTGAAAAAAATTTGGTTCTTATTGAAGAGTTCAACTTTTTCGTTATAGTTGAATTTATTTTTCCTGGTGGATAAATTTTAGAGCTTCGTTTGTTGTATTGGAATTTATGTCAAGGTAGAGATTATTAGATTTTTTACCGAAATTGGGTTGGATTTTTTTTTTCTCGAAAATTTCTTTTTTTTTATTCCATGCACTTTTGTTGGAAAAAAATATCATTTCCTTCATTCCACGTGTTTTTATTGGAAAAATGTTGTTTCCTTTATTTCACTTTTTTTTATAGTATTTCTATCTTTAAAAATATTGTTAGGGTTTTGATATCCCTACTCTTCTTTACTAGTTGAATTATTACTGAAATATGGCACAATTATTCTCTTTGTTTTCTTCATATTAGATAATTGAATAAAATATTCCATTCTTCTACAAATTAGTTCTTTGCCTTTTATCTCGTCGTTTGTTTGCGATCATATACTTCATATTGTGTTATATATATTGCCTCAATAGATTTCATTTCCCAACAAAATGTCATTATACGACAAGATCAAGTTTCAAGTTTTTACAAGTTCAAGTGAAGTTTGGACATAAAGAAGCGTAAAACTTAGCTAGACAGTAGGTCAAGCTTCAGGCTAAACAACAACAAAATTCAAGAACGAAGCGAGTTCAGTGTGAGTGCCCAAAAAAAAAAAAATGAAACCAAATTTAGATTATCTTTTGAGAAAGAGCTCAATTGATAAAATTGTTGTCAAGTAAAAAATTCCTCATTATCAAATTTTACGTAACTATTCAGTTATTTTTTTTATTTATATTTCTTAAGCCTTAAAGAATTTTAAATAAAATTATTATCTTATTTAGAATTGGGACTGAAATTGTTTACTTGTACCCATTTGACCCCATTTTATAGAAATGAAAATGGTTAGAATAGTGTTTTTTTGAAAAATGAGTGGTTGAAAAAAAAAGAAATATTTTTTATTTACGTGTAATATTATTTTATGAGAAATTGTATTGTTGAAAATATGAGAAAGAAAGATAAAATATAATGGAATGAAAATTAATGGATGTTTTAAATTTATCAAATATTTATTTACTTTTTTTAAAAAACAAAGTGAATTTAATTTATTTACTAAAAAATAACTTTTGAATACATCTACCTATGATTGTCAAGTAACCTTTTTGAGAATAGATATAGCAAAACGTAATTTTTTTGAAGATTACCTGGTCAAAAAGTAAAAAAAAAAAAAGTGTATAGCTTTACTTATGAAATTATTTTATTAAGAGAATATTTGAATATGAACGAGGTATGAGAAAAATAAAATTTTAAAGAATAGGTCAAATAGGACTTAGTCCACAGTTTGACCTCTATTTTTTTAAATGAAAATGAATGAAATATTATTTTTGTTTAAAAATGAGTGGTTGAAAAAAGAAAAAAAATCGATTTACGTGTAATATTATTTTATAAAAAATTGTGTAATTAAAAATAAAATTTAATTCAACGAGGCCAAACGGGGGCTTGGGGAAAAAAATGAACGAAGAAACAAGACAAGAGTGACCAAATAAAGGTCTTTCTTATTTCTCCCCACGAAGGCATAAAATATGAAATTTCCCACTGTAAACTACTTTGGATGAACAAATACAAGATTACAACCACCATCTCCGCCGTCTAGCTTCTCACATCATCAAATTCTCATCTTCATAAGGTAATAATCCTTTAATTTATATTGAATCATCCTTATATTTCCATTCGTTTTCTCTTATATGCTGTTTGATTTTTCCTTTTCTGCGAAATTCAGCTGAGGAAGAGTGGCACTCAACAATCACTATGGCGACGCAATCTGACGCTCCTCCGAATTCAATTGACCAAAAACCGCAAAACCCGGGTGATTTTTCTCTTTGAGTTTGCTTATTTTTCTGCCATTATTTAATATTTTTTAGTAGTTTATAAATTTGATTGATCGGGAATGATTTTACTCCGATTTAACTGTTAGGTTAGATGACCACTTACTGTACGTTGGCCTTGCTTAAAAGCAAAATACGCTGGCCTTTTTTTGGCAATGAGCCAGGCTCATTGTCACTCTTGATGTTGCTCAAAAAAGCGCAAGAAACCAGGCTTTTTTAACCTTTTAAGCAGGGCCAAACACACTAGAGCAAGATGTTTCCCAGAATTAGTTATGTTTGTAACATTATTTATGGGCATTGTTGTAGTATAGTTTCCAGAGTTGAAATGGCTCCAAATATTAAGATCTCCTGCCAAATTCTTTGAATCTATCTATTCGAATTAACAAATGCTGGAGGAGTGATGTAATACTTTCCAAATAATTCCAAAGTATTTAATATTGACTCCCCTGCATCATAATTTTAGTCTATGGAGCGATGTAATTTGTCTCATCTTGAAACCACTGTCGTTTTTCTGACTCTAATGAAGCCACCTGTATTGATCAGGCTATGTTATCCACTGAAAGATGTTCGATAATTTTTAATTCATGATCTCAGAATTGATTCCCCAGAAAATTTCCACTTGTTAAACTTCATAATAGTTTGAGAAATTTTAGTTTGTCACGCGTATAGCTTTGTCTTCTCATGAGGCAAACTTAAAATAGAAAAAAATGCCTTTTTTTGTTACTGCCAGTTTTATAATTAATTTCATATTAAATTATAGCTCCAAGTCCAAAGTAATGGTACTTTGAAACTCATCCAATGAACTGTTGCTTGTCCTGTTTCTCCATTCTAATATTTGCCTTCTGATGTGGTGTACCCTTTGGTATACAACTTGTTCGCACATCATCTTATTTCTATTAAAAAAATCTCAGCCTTTATTCCTAATAAATTTGGAGTTGGCTGCATTTATCCTTTTTAATCAATCCTTTTGGTTAATTGCTACATCTATCGGATATTATCCAATGTCTATAAGTTTCTTAAAACACAGAATTTCTTTATTACTCAGTGTGTTTGAGGGTACACTAGTTAGTTGATGGGCTCCTAGTCGTGTTGTGCATTCAATACATTCATTTTGATGCAGTAATCTTTCTATTTTGAAAATATTGATTTTCAACTTGAACTACAGTTTCACAGGTCACACAACCCACTGTTGATGATGGTCAGAATGCCAAGGTAGAACCTAAAAGGGAGAGTTCTCCATCTTCTGCATTTGTCAACTCAGAACCAATTCGAGAAGGGCAAGTACAAAATGCTGTGAAGTTTCTTTCACATCCAAATGTTAGGGGATCGCCAGTTACTTACAGAAGGTCATTTCTTGAGAGGAAAGGACTCACAAAAGAGGAGATAGATGAAGCCTTCCGTCGTGTTCCTGTAAGTCACCTCCCCCTTTCCTTATCTGGAGCAAAACACCTTATTTTATACTTCTTCATAGAACTTTATGCTATAGCATTTGCTGGCACTCAGAAGCTGTAACTAATGGTCTCGCTATTTTATAATTGACAGGATCCAACCCCAGCTGTTACAACTACACAGCAGGTTGCCACAAGTCATGGTAAGAAATATTTCTGTTTGCTTGAGTTCTACAACGTGCCATATTGATTCTGAAAACAAGACCTAGATTGGATAATCCTTGCCTAATTATTTTCTGTTCTTGCTGGTCATTCATGTTAAAACAGATGCACACGTAAAAGCTCCATCAAATATTCAACAGCAGGCTCCAATACAAACTCTGCAGTCTACACCTGCAGGCAGCATTTCAACAATTGGTAGGCTCTCTCGCTTTCACTGGTCTCATGCTCTTCTTGGTGTGGGTTTTCTGGCTGTTTCAGGAGCTGGAACAGCAGTACTTTTCAAGGTACAGTCTACTTCTATGATGCTATTAATTTTAGATGTTCTCTTTTGAATGCATGAACTTTGACAAATTATTTTTTTCATTGTATTGTGCTTTTACTTTTATAGGAAGTTTTCTTCCATTCAAATGTTATAATATTCACTATGTCATCTTACATATATGCTGTATGTGTTTGTGTAGAATGCAATATTTCCCAGGTTGAAGTCTTGGATTCGCAAGGTTGTATTGGAGGAAGAAGAAGAGGGTCTGCAAAAGAAATACGAAGTGAAGCCAAGTTTAGCAGAAGAAGCCGCAGCTGCTGCAAAAGCTGCAGCCGCTGCAGCAGCAGATGTAGCTCGGACAAGCCAGGAGATATTGATATCAAAAACAGAAGGTAGGGTGTTAGTGATGGCCACATATTGGTCAACAGTCTCGATATATATCTGTTTTATTCTATATTTTATTTCCTTCACTTGTGAGTTAATTTGTAATGATCATGATTTGACTTGTTCACGTTCTTGTCAGAGAAGAGATGCTTTGAAGAGCTTATCAGTGTGATAAATGTGCAATTAGGTGAGATGAAGTTGATGAGTACTGCTATGCGTAAGTTAGAAGGTAATAAAGAAGTGGCTTTCCGTTCATTTCTCTGAAATTTGTAGCTGTTGGTTTTGCCCTTCTTTTTCTCGTTTAAGCAATAATCCACGATGTGATAGTTTTCCCGTACGTATTTTATTTGTTAGAAATTATATAGCTATGAAAAAGTGTAACATTGTTAACTATGCAAATTCATTATTATATTGGCTTCATGACATAATACTTGTGGAAATTATTATTAAGGGAAGAAGAGAGATTGCACGAATTGATTGCTGTATATCATTTTACTTTCCATCTGCTTTTCCGTCCCACCAAACACACCTAAAAAGAGATAGAAAGACTGATTGGATGATCAACAGGTCATACCACAAAAACCCAAGAAAAAGGTATTTTGACCGAGGTCAAAGGGTTATGTTTGAACCAGGGGTTCTTCCTGTTTCCTGGAAGGCAAATGATTTTTGAAGGAACTGGGCTTAGGTGTGAAACCTAGACCAGTGAAATGACTAATTGACAGTTCAACCAGTTGAACTGGCTGGTTCATTCTGGTTTCTGAAACAATGTTGCTCATGCATAAACGATTGTTTGAACAACAATCAGCAGGATGCCTCGCTTGAAAGCTAATTTCCAGTTTTATTTTTATCTGTCCAGTATTGTGTGAACTGATATCTTCACATATTATTCTCACGGAGAAGTACAATAGCAGGTGCTGTTTAGTTGCATTAGGCTTCCATAACTTGAATTTCTACCGAGGTGCCTTTGTTCCTGATATTCATTCTGTCCAGCTTTCATATTTTGGAATTTTCACCTTGGTTATACATCAGTACGCGTATAAAGAGCCATATATATCTTCCTTTACCATTCCCATCTCTACTTCCAGTTTAGGAGTGTACTTCTCTAGAGTCTTCCTTGTTATCTGCATAACATCCTTTTGTTCACAATGTCAGTCTGTTAACTGATTCTATTTTCTGTATCAATATCAGGTCGAAACCAGGGAAGAATTCCAATGGAGGAACAAGATGATAACAGGATCTCGTGGACTAGTTCAAGGGTGAGCCAATTATTGCTGTGGATTTTTTGTTCATTTTTTCTAGTAATACTGAAGATATAAAAAGCTAATTTTTGATCAATTTCGAGTTCTTGTTGTGATTCTCATTAATATTTGTGCTACATTTTCCAGCAACCTTATGCAAATGGCAAGGTGGATTCTGACTCACGTTCAGGTAGATATTAATTGGTGAATTGCTAGTTCTTTTTTTTTTTGCTTGGCTTGATGATTAATCAACGATCTTTTTAATATTCCATTCAGTGAGATCTTCGTCACCACCTGCATTGGTGGAACCCTCTGTTGCTCCTCACCCTAAGTCGTATATGGAGGTATTTTTTCACACTCCCTTGCTACCTTTGGCATCTCTGGTAAGGTGGACTGGAGAACGTTATTAAATAAGAAAAAGAAGTTAAATGTTTGTTTATTGCACCGTCCAGTAAAATATAATAGCGTACCAAACATGCCACTTAATGTGTTCTGAGGGTATGATCTGTGTGTCTGTGAGCCCAATCTCTCTTTGCTCGTTCTTTGCATTAAAAGTAGCATATGGATTTTTGAGATGCTTCCATGAAACAGTTTTGGCTACCTTTAACATCATAGGATTTCAGTCTCTTCTTGTTTTGTTGACACTTGCAACATAAGATTTTATAATCAAACATGCTCGTAACTATCTGCAGATCATGGCTATGATTCAAAGAGGGGAGAAACCATCCAACATTAGAGTTAGTCCACAAATATTAATCTTGAATTTTGTATGATCAGCTTTCGACTTCTCTAATTTTAATATTTAACCATTTGTATAATCGTTATTCTCAGGAGATCAATGACGCACCACCAAATCCCAACCAACCGGTGCCACTTCCTCGTTTAGCTCCAAGGCCTAAGGTTTGCCTTTCAAGATTACCATTTGTTTCATCATCCCAATTTTTTCTTCCAAGAAATGGGATATTTCAGGCTTTTAACGGTTTTATGAAAACTTCTCCAGTAGCCATATCTGAGCTACTAAAATATGGATTTTTTTATATAAATTTTGATAACATTTGACACAGGCTTTTCGACTTGAGCAGATACATTCTGTTGAGCCCTTCTCTAATATTAATCCCTGTTGAACAGCCTTGGGAGGTTAGTCAAGCTCAGAGAACCTCGACCAATGTTATTCAGTCTCAAGAAAGCAGTAATGGCGTAAGTTACGAGTTCAAAGATAAGCAGGCAAATGGTGATGATGAGGTTCCATGGTGGCAACGGAAAAATGTCAGAATCACGGAAATTGAAGCTGGGGATGAACAGAAATTTGGATCTTCCAATATAACAAGTCATGTTGGACCGGTTCAACGGTTGTGGGTACCTCCCCAGCCACCTCCTGTTGCCATGCCTGAAGCAGCTGCAGCTATTAGACAGCCAAAGAAATTACAGAAAGATGATCAATTGAATGATGAGCAATCAATGGCTCGCTCTTCAGACGTAACTGATGAGTTGCAGAGGTTCACAAAACTGTCTGAATTGGGCGGCAGCGTGGAGGTTAATGGAGGAAATTCCGGGTATAATTCAAGTGAAATACAAAAGGAAGAGGAAAACTCCATTCTCGAGATGTAATTAACCNAGGTTAATGGAGGAAATTCCGGGTATAATTCAAGTGAAATACAAAAGGAAGAGGAAAACTCCATTCTCGAGATGTAATTAACCTAAGAGGTGTTCGGGTTGATCCAAGGGTATTAATTTTGCTGGACGTTGATAATAGTAAATTTAAGAGAACATGTTTGTTGAATCAACCCATCAATAAGGTTTGAGTAATGTTATTTTGTACATAATTGTGTACATAATAGTGCATAGGTAAATGACGTGGAAGGGAGAGAGAGAGTCAGAGAGAAGAAACTCGGTTATTTTAACCCCTCTTTCTTGTCATCTATCTGTATACTGTTATGTAAACAATGATGTGCAAATAGCATTATTCGATTTGAGGTTTTACTATTGCTTTAGCCTACACTTATGATCCATACGTTAAAGCGTTTTATTGTCTATATAGGTTGTTGGCATATGCTCATCAAGTCCAAATCTGTTGTCTCATCTCGACCGCCCCATCGTCTGAACTCTTACCCTAATTATAATTTTAATTTTGTGGTGTTAAAATTTTAGTGGGATATAAACAATTTTTTTTCCTTAAATTTTCTTACACAATGGTCACAGTCAAATTGGGATAACATATATGAGCTTATTTTGCTAATGTTACATCGTGCGCATAGTATGAACGCGACCAAAGTTTCATTCAGAAAATATTTTATTGTACTACTTCAAAACTGACAACGGATTAACGTGTAATCCAATCTAATACAGGTGAAGAGTAGTTTCATATGGCTAATTTATTTTGCAATGTGAAAGCAAAATTTGTGACTAAGAAAATTATATTTTAGAAGACTTTTAAGCCAACTTATTTTAATTCAACCTATTATTTGTCTTGTAAAAGATTTCTAATGCCTTGTCAAGGTTTCAAACGTGGAGCCAATTAGGTTTCTATGATTAGGCAACAAGTTCGTGCTATGTTTTTTTCCTTAACATATACATAAGACGAAAACAAGAAATTAAGAATGTTAGTGAAATGCTAAGGTTAAGATCGACGTTTAGGGTCCTTTTAGCATAATTTTGCTTCTCGTAAAAGAGCTATATTAGGTCAGCTACGTTTAAAAACTCTTCGAATCACACAAAATACTTTTAAAAAATTATTTAAATATATTCAATTGTAATATTCTAATCTCAAAAACAATTTTTGACTTTTTGCATATTGCTTTGAAAGACAAATTTTATACTCCCCTCTCATTTATATAGGATGGTTTTTCTTATTTTATTGCCCCAATTATATAATCCGGTTTGTTTATTGAGATTATTTTGTTTTGTTTTGTTATTAATATACCATTATTTAATTTACCTAGCTATAATCAATTTTTTCCATTTAATCTTGAAGTTTTACAAATATAAATAAGGATAAATTTGGAATGTTTTTGACAAAAAAATACTTTTTCAATAACATTATAAGATTTCTCAATTAGTGTGAAAAACAAAACAAGTCTATATAAGCCCTTGTTTGATTCCCATAATTATAAAACTCTTTTTTTTGTATGATCATTTTTAACCACACATTTACACAATAAAATATTATACATATAACCTCAATTTTGATTTTTATTTTTTAACTATACATTCCCCAAAATAATACTTTTCAAAACTCTTTAAAATGGATATAATGGCCCGCGAACAAGGCTAAATGGGATGGGACGGGACGGAGTATTATTAAGTCAATTTTAAGGTAATGGGTTAGGCATCGAGACCATAATATGGTATAGAAGTGTCAAATATCGAGCCTTGCATAATTGCATCGAAGGGACACTTAAATAGAGTGTAAAGCATGTCTTACTCCAAGGAGGGCTATGCATTTCTACTCAACCAATTTACATTCGCGAACAGCCCCACTAGATCTTTCCTATAGGGTAGGTACGACCTCCGCCGATCACCGCCGTTTCTGCCGTATTGTATCGCCGCCACTTTCACTTTTCCGACACCAACCACCGGCGTTTCTACACCTTTTTTAGTTGTGTCATTTTCCATTTGTTTGCTCGGAGTTGAAATGACCAAAGTACCATGATCGCCATCACTGTGACTCCTGTTCAAAAGGTCTTCAAACGTGCACCTCTTCGTAGAGCCGGTGGAGTTGCTCTTCTTACACTTTCCCTCCTCCGTATCCTTCGGTGGCGGCGATGATGACTTTGGCCTCCACGTGCAGTACTTTTCCGCCTGAACTCCGGCGAGATCATCCATCTCCGATGAGGAAGACGATGTCGTTTCACTCTCCATGAAAAGTTTCCTCAATGGAAGCCTAATCGGAGCCGCCTTAGACGAAGAATCCGAATTTCTGATCAATAACTCTCTATTTAAAACGGGGAAAACCGATCTGATCTGACCGTTGTAGAAGATTTCATCAGCCGAAATCGAAGAAGAAAATTCAGAATCACTTGTCACAAATGCAAACTCAAATTCTTCATCTTCATCATCACCACCATCACAATCA